TTAGCAAGTAAGCCTTTTAAAAAAAGATCTTTAGAATCACAATATATAACCATTTTGAATTAGGCCTGTCACGATAACAACTTTTTGTTGTGCGATATATTGCCCCAGAAATAATTGCGATAAGCGATACTATTGTCATTTTAAAGACCATTTTATGCCACTGAATATATAATCATAATGTAACAGCATAATAATGCAAGACGGCCTACACACTTCCAAATGACAAAATACTTTTAATTTTTAAGAATATTTAGATCATGGAAATTAAGTATCAAAATATTAGATACCTTAAAAAAATTTAATAAATAGTAAATAAACATTTTCTAACAAAAAAATGCAAAGTAACAAAGTAAGTACAAAAAAAGAAAAATGCACAAAGAACTTGTATGGAAATTTTTCCCGGACCTTCTTTTCTCTGTAAATTAAGGGTGCACACTATTGCTGAAAAACACAATCACTACTTAGCAGTCAGATGTCCGTATGCACAAAGGCACAGATCCCTAAACAAGACCATATCTACAGATTAAATTTTTCGTAGAAGCATTTTTTAAATTTGAACTAGCACCTCATGACTACACCACATTACGTACGAGAAGCTGCAAAAGACACAGGCACAAGTGGAATGTAAAAAAACATGGTGACATAAATTTTTAAGTAAATATAATGGGCTATATATTGTCACCAAAAATTATTGAGGTCATGTGCATATATTGAGCCATAAGTCGATATATTGATTATTGCGACAGGCCTATTTTGAATACACTAACCATGATTGTACTGTGATCCAGATATCATAATAATATCATACCTTTCCAACCCGTAATGTGTTTAGGGAAACCAAAAGTGAGAAACAACAGAGGCCATACCTCAACTGCAAAGTTACAGAAATCCTTCTATGCTTCCATTATTCTCCCCAGAAAGACTGAAGCTCAGATAATGGCTAGACTTATATCCAAGTTCCTAACAGCTGAACAAGTCTGTGGATAATAGAAACATCCAGTTCTGAAAGGCTCTACCCACAAATTTCTGAATGAGACAAAGTCTTCTATTGCTTCAGCGGGGAGTCTGTTTGGGCACATGCTTTATATCTGGCTGTGGTGGCGGACTAGACTGAGAGTGTTGAGGAGAGAGAGTATCAGAGACAGGAAACAGCCTTTGAAGTGCTGAGAAAGTAGAAATGGAATCCAGCCACAGACATAGATAAGACATTCACATCAGTATCTACAGCGCTGGGGAGCTATTTGAAAATTTTTGTCAGTTTTTTTCCTGTTTAAAACTGAACAAGATATCCAAAATGTGCATACAATATGACAAAACATGATGATTCACAACTTACTGCACTTTCCAGTGCCCTAAAATATCTCTAAAATGACCATATCCTTACTAGTGTGTGTATATTTATATACAATTGTGGTTAAAAGTTTACATACACCTTGCAGAATCTGCAAAATATTAATAATCTTACCAAAAAAAAGGGGGATCATACAAAATGTATGTTATTTTTTTATTTAGTACTCTCCTGAATAAGATATTTTATATACATATATATATATATATATATATATATATATATATACAGTGGGTACGGAAAGTATTCAGACCCCCTTAAATTTTTCGTGTGTGGCTTTCCTAATCAAGTTCAATCAGTATAATCAAACACAGCTGGACTCAACTTAAGGTGTAGAACCATCTCAAGGCTGATCAGAAGAAATGGACAGCCCCTGAGTTAAATATATGAGTGTCACAGCAAAGGGTCTGAATTCTTAGGACCATGTGATATTTCAGTTTTTCTTTTTTAATAAATCTGCAAAAATGTCAACAATTCTGTGTTTTTCTGTCAATATGGGGTGCTGTGTGTACATTAATGAGGAAAAAAAATTAACTTAAATGATTTTAGCAAATGGCTGCAATATAACAAAGAGTGAAAATTTTAAGGGGGTCTGAATACTTTCCGTACCCACCGTACAGTTGCCTTGCGAAAGTAATCATACCCCTTTAAATCGATCTGTGCTTTATGTCGGAGTGGCCAGACTCAATCTTCTCCTCTGTCAGACACACAAAAACCCACTTGGAATTTGCAAAAATGCACCTAAAGGACCCTTAGACTGTGAGAAACAAGATTCTCTGGCTTGATGAACCTCAATTCCAAGCATCATGTTTGAAGGAAACCAGGCACTGCTCATCACAGAGTTCAACCTCAAAAGTAAAGTGTGCTGGTAGCAGCCTCATGCTGTGGGGCTGTTTTTCAGCGCCAGGGACTGGGGGACTCATTAGAGTAGAAGAAAAGCTCAATGAACCAAAATATTGAGATAGCCTTAATGAAAACTTAGTCCAGAGCATTCAGAACCTCAGACTGGGCAGAATGTCTACCTTCCAACAGGACAATGACCCTAAGCACACAGCAAGAGTTGCTTACAGACAACTCTGTGAATGTCCTTGAGAGAAGAGCAAACCCCCTATAATTTTACAATATTATTACTGTTATTGTCTCAAAGAATGTAGTTTTAAGAGATTTGAACATATGCGTGAACATAGTTGTTCAGACCTCAAATGTGTGATTTATATATAAAGATAGCGAATATTTGAAACTTGTTTAGACGTTTTCGGAGATGTGAGCTCCAAGCCGACAGCGGCCGTTCAGTGCTTGTGTACCCGCCGAGAACAGCTTTATCTCACCCAGTCCTTCAGGAATTTGCTGCTGGCTCTTCTGTAGATGGTCTTACATGAGGTTTAATTCATTTTGGTTATATTAAACAGGCAAAATATAGTCTTATTAATCTACTACTTGTGGCAGAGCAAATCAATTTGGCATCAGGGTAAAGTGAAGTTTCACATCTTTTAATTTTTATGTAACTAAATCCTGTACTAAATAGAGTGCTGATTTTCTACTTTTGACTGAATTGTTTGCTTGTGTTTATTTACAAACTTATTATACTTTTATAATGGCTATTGTTGTTCATTTATATATTATTGTTCAATAAATAATATTTTACATACCTAATATGCCGTGAAATATGCCTGCAGCCTTGTGCCAATGGCCAAATCACAGCTGTGCTGATATGCAGCCATATCGCTCAGCTACTCGTGTAATATTGCTCATTGATTATATTATATTATATTATATTATATTAGTCACATGTCATTTAGGGCTCATGTGATTGGCTCAAAACTCTAGACATAAACGGGAATGCTATCTGACGACTCTCTCCTACTATAAACATCCTTGGTGCCAATCTAGATAAAAAGATCCATTTGAGCACCTGCCAAAATGACATTCGAACAGACATGTCGATTTGGCAAAACAAGTTTAAAAGGGACAGATGTTAGGCACAAGCTCTTATCATGAGGGAAATAGGCTTGTTCCTGAGGTGGACTGCTGGAGGTCTCAACAAGTTCAGTGCGGTCAGCTAGTATTGAGCCTCGAGGGCCTACCTGGAGCAGCACATCAGCTCATGGCTCTCAGTCTGCTGTTTCCCAGTCCTCTGTTTAGACAGAGCAACAAAGTAGAGATCTGGCACCTGGCCAGGTTTGTAGCTGGTGATTGCGGGCCTGTTTGCCAGCTGACAGCTTGAGACGGGAGGGTGAGGGCAGGGAGAGAGCTGCATTGGGGCTGGGATAGTGCAGCATGACTCTGACACACAGGAGGGAGACACTGAGCGTATGTACGTAGCAAAGTGCACAGTCAGAACAGCAAGGTGAAAGACGTCTCACTGTCAGATTAAGCAGATGATACAGCTCAAGTTTAGCAAGGTAAGATGATCACGTTATGCTTTATGTACCTAAAAATGTAGGTTAAATAATACCTACATCTACAGCCATATATTGAAACAGGTATAGTGTCTCTCTCAACATGGGAAATGTGTAATTATTCATAGTGCATGCATTGAAAAAGTCCTCATATGATCCAAGATTGGATGCTCCTTGCTATTCGGCTAGCAGCCCTCTAGTGGACGAGTTAGAATTTGCAAGGCTATATGAGTCCATGAACCCAACATTTGAAATAAAGACACACCACTTATTTAAACAAGTCTGAAGGTCGATCAGATTCACAGAACATATTTTGAATTACAATTATGGTGGCTCCTTTAGAGTGCTCTCATGTTTAAAAAGCTCTGCAAGGTCTAAAAAGGCATAATATCCAAAAAGTGAATAACTAAAACTGCATACAACCAAAAACACTGATACTGTGTAATAAAATACTATTGAGCACCATACCAGTTATACGTAACAGCATCTCCATTAAAAACACCTTAAGATGTGTAATTAAGGTTCGCCATGTATATTTTCAGAGCTTAAAGGGATATTTCACCCATTTTGTCATCATTTACTCAATTTCCTGAGGTTGCCAACCATGTTAGCCAAAATCTCAGTTACCACAAATATGCAATGATACCATCTCCTTTTGGTGGGTAAATCATGATAAAATGTTTATTTTAGGGTGTTCAATCCCTTTAATTTGATAAAACATACTTAATATGAAGTATACAAACCCAAAGTTTCTCATGGGATTGAAAAACAGGTGAAAATGGTTGGAATAGAGAGCACCAGCTCAAACCCTTCAGTTCTGCAATTCCTTAAAAACTAGCACTTAAACAGAAATGTCATTAACCAATGACACAGCAATCATATTTATAAATTAACACAACATTATAATCCAAAATAATTATACAATACCCAGAACCCAGAACTGCTATATTGTTCACTTTAAAATATTCAACGCGAATAAAATAGCATTTAAATATAAAAAAATAATAATAACCCATGATGACCCAAAATTATATTAATGACTGGAGAAGGGGAAAAAAACTCAGCAAACTTAAGGCTGAACCCAGAACTGCTATATTGTTCACTTTAAAATATTCAACGCGAATAAAATAGCATTTAAATATAAAAAAAATAATAATAACCCATGATGACCCAAAATTATATTAATGACTGGAGAAGGGGAAAAAAACTCAGCAAACTTAAGGCTGTATATAATCAATTGCACTTCAACTCACCTTGAGCAGCTGTTCCTCTGGTGCTGAATACACTTGCTATCAAAGTGGCCACATACCAAATCATAGTACTATTGCCAACCAGAGAGAAACCTCATCATATCTCAAAGTGCCCCTTTCAATAAATCATTTTTAGCCGAGCCCCTGGACGTTAGACACACTGTCAGCTGCTGATACCCTTTTATTCATGCTCTGCATACTTTTCTCCGACGGTTCCCTTCATTCCTTCCCTCCCCTTCTTTCCTTTCGCATCCTCTCTCGATGAAATAGAGCACCTGCACCAGCGCACGGCAGCCAGACGCGGCTTGATGGCAATGCCAGCGTGAAACCAAGCATGACAATTTAGCTGTTAGCTCCGCCCCCGCTCGAATTTCATTGGCCGGTGGGGGAGGCGTCGGGGCGGGGATTGGTCGCCTCTCCGTCGCTCTCCGTGTAAAAACTGAGAGCACCCCGTTTCAAGGTGAGTTGGAGCGTGAAGTGGCGTTGGAACCGCAGTATCATGCGCAAAAGCGAAGTCGTGAAAGCAGCCTGTCGGATGCCCAGCGTAGGTAACAAGGCTTCTGGTGTTGTGAAAGTTAAAGGTGCGGAGGGCTAGACGTCACACTTTAATGTGTGGAGAGGAAATCCTCAACCTGTATGCGTCGTTCGCCTTTCATTCCATCGTTTGCACTGCGCGCGGTCTTAGTATTGAGACATGAACCTGGAGCCACACTGAATTCTCCGGTAGTAGTGATGTCACTTGTTACATCATGGCTGAACCAAATGTACAGCTCTAAACTAGCTCTAAGGAGGCAAGTAACTAGAGCACTATAATGATATGACACAGGTGATATGAGTCAAGTCAGTCTAAGGCAGTCTAATTTGTATTGCTGTTCCCTAAAACAAAGTTTTATAGCACAAAATCATGCTTCAGTGCCCCCAGTGAGTCCAAAATATCTTTATATGATTCAGATAAAGGATACTAGCCTACTTAAAGGGATAGTTCTCCCCAAAAAAGAAAATTCTGTTATTTATTTGTCCTCTGATAATTCTAAACCCACATGCTGTTGTTTTTTGTTTAGTGGGGAAAAAATGAGAACTTATAATGTATCTTTATACAGCTATTTTCCATACAGTGATAGATCGTGATGTCTAAAAGTTGTTAACGGAAAATTTTAAATATCGACTGATAATTCAAGATGTTTTCTGTCATTTCTGTCAGGACCACTATCGTCAAAGATGATTGACAATTAGCATACAGTTTGGATTGGCGGTATGGTTCCGTTCTGGGCAAGAACCCCCTGCGCATGAACCCCCCCCCCCGGTTCTGATAAACAGAACAGAACCAACATAAATGTATTGCAGATATCGTTGAAGTTCAATAATGGTATGTACACATTTTAGAATTAGTCTGATTCAAAGGAGAATCAGAAGGCTGAATCCTGACCGACAGAGGAGGAGTTGGGGATGGAGGAGGGTAATTAGCTATTGAGCAACGTGAAAACTGCTGATACTACTGCGGGACCTTATATATGAATGCTTAGATAGGTGTCGTATTCCCATTGGTTGATGGGGATCAGCTGAGAGTCAGCCGATGCGAGCTTGACTAACGTGACCTGCCAGAACTAACGCTACGTTAGATTTCTGTCATCAGTTTTCTGAAAAGTTTTCTTGGATCAGCTGAGATGCTAAAAAGAGAGAAAATACAGTTTTATTGCAACCTATTAAAAAATAGGCTGATAGAGGCATTTGCGGTGTAAAAATAACTTTTTTTTTAAAGATTTAATGGGATATTGGTAATTGAACCAGGTGACCAGATTGCAAGACCACAGTGGCGGTTGCCTTTTTCATGTTACAAAAGCAGTTCAGAAAAGAGAAGGCCAAGATCTGGCAACCCATTGCTTTAACGAGGGTTAAAAATAGGACTTGACTGAAAATGTACCCCACTCTAACACTTTCTGTATAAGTAATAGGTAATGGTTATTTGTAGCCCAATCTCTGACAGTGATGTCTGAAAAAAGTAGTCCATACAACTTGTGAATTTATACAATAGTTTTGGGAACAGATATTATTTTCTGAACTATCATTTCGCTTTCCATGTTCAGATTAAAAAATTTACTTAATTTGTCAGCTACGGGCGTCCCGTGTTCGAATCCCGACTCGAGGACCTTTCCCGATCTCTCTCTCCCACTTTCTCTTCCTGTCAGTTCTAATCGGTCCTGTCATAATAAAGGCAAAAATACCAACAAAAAAAATTAATATACCAGCTTACAGGTTTGAGTAAAAATGACAGAATTTACCAATAAAGCGCTTTATTTTATATAAGAATTTTAACTGATGCATCTGTCACATATATATATATATATATATATATATATATATATATTGTTAAAATGGAGCTGTAGGCTGTTTTCAGTCTGAATAAAATGTTTAAAAAGCTAATTTCCAGGAATATAGAGGTGTCAAATAATTACAGTGTACAGCAGCATAATGTTTAATTAATGTTTAACATCCACAAATCAGCCCAATATGGAGACAGCTGTAAACTCACATGTAGCATCTCACTTTCAATTTAAAAGGTAGAATCTGCTATACAGTCCATTTGAGCAATGTTTTTAATGGCAATTCTGGTGTTCTGCCAATGCTTATAGACCTTAAAACTTCCATCCACTTCAGATAGTTTATGGTAAAGCAGCTTGGACTGACAGTTCTCAATCAGTGTCTTTCATGTTCTCTTAGACATAAGGACAAGAAACTTCCAAATTATACAAATCTTAAAGCTAGGTACATTTCTTAATCTGTAAAATCACAAGTATTATTGTTTATGAATGCTGGACTAATTGACTTTCTAATGCAGTTTGATCATGTTTGATGTCATACAAAATAGAATAGCAGGATTTATTGACTACACCATTAATATCATAGTGCTATTATACAGAAAAACTCTTTAAAATCCTCCAGAAATGATCATTCAGACTGTATTTAGCCGATGAGTGTACCGTCCTTGTGTATATAAACCCACATTCAATGACACACACTGTTCCGATTGCAACTTTAAAAAAAACCTCCCCAACACTTGGAGGCTTTATGAATTCTTATAACCTCTCACTTATCTGTCACAGTATGTACATTCATTGCCAAGTTTGATGCCACCCACTCACCCATATGAGTTATTAACCTGCTTGTACATGCAGTCAATATGTAGGTATTTGTAGGTACAGCTGTATACATTACTTCACACAAAGATGTTTTTTTCCCTCAGGTAAAAAAGATAAAGATATGTTTTCCCTCAGGTAAGAAATACACATCTGTTGGGTTTGACACCAGCTGCAAAGTGCTGCGCTATCATCTGAACTGAAAATAACACACAGGCCTCAAAATGCTCTTGATTTCCATAACCATTTTAGAGCTGAAGGGCAGGTAAAGATATTCAGCTGAGCCCTACAACTCACCTTCAGATTATGAAGACATTTGATGTTTCAGACATGATGTTGTTGAGGAAACCATGTGTAATGCTGTAATGGTATAGATGTACAGAAAAAAAAAACTGTTCGCTAGGATGCACTTATTTTTTTGTGTATGTTATAGTCGTCTTGGACTTTTACTGGCAAATATTGATTGAATTGATAGATTGTTTTGACATATTGATTATTCTACAAGTGAATGCATTCAGTAAACGGGGGTTATGAAGATAAAGTAGGACTAGGTATCGATTAGTGTTTTCAGATTCAGATTCTGATTTACAGCTTTCAATTACAATTTCATTCAGTGCTGATTCATTAGGGTATATTTAAGTTTTTCAGTTATTATGTCCAATTCATTAAAATAATCGGCTTATAAGAGTCATTTGTTTATGAATTGGTTTACACTGGTCGAGTTTGGTACTTTTTGACAAAAAAAGGTAAAATCAATAAAAAAAGATCACTTTTTTCTTTTGTTGTAGTACACAGTTGCCTTGGCGCTAAAAAGCGGTTCGCACAGCCACTGAAAATAGCTATAGAGTAATGGATTGATCTGGGATATTAAGGACCTGTATCAGGATTCAAATGAATGAATCAGAAAATCAGTATTTTTTTTTACAATCTATAAAAGTGAGTAGTATGTGGCTGATCATGGTCATCAGCTGCTTGTTATGCTACTGATGACTAGATTCTCATGCAAATATGTTTTTAAACATACTGTATCTTTTGAAAAAAAATACTATTCGTTTCAGGGTTAAAACTGCTTTGAAAAGGAAACATTTTTGAGAGCACTTTTAAGAGTGAGGAATGATCTTGTACTGGAGAGTTCACTGGAGCTTTGCATCACAGAATAATAACAAGGCTAAAATGCAACACCTCCAATCTTAAGCTTTGACTGCCTGAATGACCACAAAATTCACATTATAATCAAAACACTCCAGCCATATGTGAGGGATTTCAGTGCTGTTATTGTTAATGGCAAGATAAGAAATTTTATAAATATATTTATACTTTTGAAGTGATTCAGTGCTAATTCATTAGGGAATATTTTCCCCCTCATGTATTTCCAAAGCTGTGGAACACAAAAGAAGAGGTTTTGACGTGTGTATGTGTTTTGTCCATATGTCAAAGGGGTCCAGTGTTGTTCTTTAAAATATCTTTTGTGTTCCACACAGGAAAGAAATTCAGACAAGTTTAAAATGACACAAGGGTGACTAAATGATGACAAAATTCAAATTTTTGGCTGAACTATTCCTTTAAAGGATATATTTAAAATGCTGACCAGAAAGTCAGGAGCACTCTGTATAAGAATTCATATTAAATGTGCATGCATCATAAATTAGGTCCTCCAGGGCATGGCTCGTGAAATGCTTTAAACTTTTCACACGTACCCACAGGGGATAATAAATAGGACTTTTGTGTTTTTCCACTCCATTAGAAGATTTGCATATATCAAAAGAACAGCAGATGCTTTGCACTATAGTTTGTCACTTCTCTGTGCTCAGGGCGTATTTGGACTGTCTGCCATTTCATGAAATGTTAACCACTGTCGACTTGACAAATACAAGAATGCAAATCATCTCTGGCCAGGCTCTTGTGTTCCTTAAGAAATACAAAGACAACAGATAAACAGCTTGCCAGCGTACTGGCTAATGTTAATGCTGCATTTAGCTGGATGTTTTCACTCTCTGATGCATACAGAGGCAAAACACACTAGTGAGAAAACATAGCGAGAAAATGAAAAGATACTGAATTTTGTTTTGATATAAATTTTTATATCAATTTGAAACACCATTTTGCTCTCTCTGAATGTGAACACAGTTAAGCCTAATAACTAGTCTGTTATGACATATAGCAGTTACCGTATTTGACCTTTCTGTAAACAGAAAGGCGCTCGATTTTGGTTATTCATTCATACAGGCTT